AGATGGGCACTGCAAACAGCCAGCCGCTCCCCGCCTCCGAGAGCGCCAAACCCCATCGAGGGAAACCCTCTGCAAGAGGAAGGCGGCAGCGGCAGAGCGCTGCCCAGGCTGACAGTTCATTAAGGGCTTCTCAGGTGTTAGGCAGCTCTTAGCACAGTGGCCTAAGGCGTTCCCAGCCCTCTGCCAGGCACTGCTGTCTCCTCCTTGGCCTCGGGTGTAAGACAACCGGTTTGGAATCTCACAAGGCCCCTGTCGGTGCGTAGGAAGCTGGCTGGTGTCGGACAATCACAAGGTAAGAGGGAAGATGCCGGGATGCTATCGAAGGCAGCGCTGCAGGTAACGCAGGGAGTTGGAGCGAGGCCAGCTAGGAGAGCTTACAAGCCCAGATCAGAACCCTTCTGCCTGTAGTCAAAGCAGAAACAGGCGGGGTACCTCCCGCTTTCTAACACCAGCCATGCCGATGCAATCGCGTCCGTCAGCATCCTGGTCCCAAACTTCAACCACTTGGGGTTAAGCCGTAACAGCATCGTGAGGCAAGCAGCGTCACCTCCACACGGCGAAGGCTGACTAACGTGTGATGGTGCCAAGCAGCGGCATTTGCTACCACTGCTCAACTGAACTGTAAACCCAAGCACAGCTGCTATGCAGCAGCAGCTTAAAAATGTTGCTTCTAATCCAAAAAACCCAAATACTTCCATTCCTGTTTGAAAAACTGGCACGCAGCCAGCTTCATTGTGCTGCGCTACGGCTATCCGATCACCTGTGTATTTCGTGTCTCCCCAGTGTTATGTTTGTAAGAGAAGGTTTCAGGACAGATTCTAAAACCCAAGGCAACCTTGTCACTGTGGAAAGCTTGTGGCAATAAGTCATGGTCAGTATCAAAGTCTGCAAGCGCAGCCTCATACGTCACACGTTAAAAGGCCAAAGTGCAGGGATTTGAATCCAGAGCAGGTTCGCTACTCAGGGTGCGTTATTTCATCCTGTTCAACAAATGTAACTTAACTTAAAAAAAAAAACCCTCTTGGCAACTCTACTGATCGCAAGGTAGTAATGAACATGAACACACAGGCTTGGGGCTGCTCCTGAAATACCTTTAAACACTAATTCCAAATTACTGAAAGAAGCTAGAGAAGATTTCTTGAAGTAATTGCACTACCCATCTCGGGGGAGGCAATTTTTGAGATCTGAAATGAAGATATAGCTATGGTGGATGGCCTGTGAGCTTATCTTCTGGAAAAAAGGAGAAGAGCTGGTCCAGAAAGGTACAAGAGTCTGCTGAACTCTATTTTAGAGGTTACTGGGCCTAAGCACGTCCCTCAGCCAAAGACGGTGACAGAGGCACGGCGCTGTAGCGCTGCGGTTTAGCTCCAGGACCAGGTCCCACAGTTACCGTGGTTTTACAAGCAGGCGATCAGGAGCAGGTTCTTACCTACGCGCTCCAACAAAACACAAACACCGGGTATATGGGCCCGTTAGCTCAGCGAGGGTCATGACTGCTGCTGGTCATCTTTACCGAGGATCCGAATGCTGAATTGTACAGCCCACCTTTCTGGTGCCCCGTGCCAGGGCGCCCTGTTTGGTACTTGATTGCAGAACAGGAGATCAGCGTCAGATCCTGGGCCGTGCTGTAAAAAAAAAAAAAAAAAAAATACTGCCGTGATCCGAATGCTGAATTGTACAGCCCACCTTTCTGGTGCCCCGTGCCAGGGCGCCCTGTTTGGTACTTGATTGCAGAACAGGAGATCAGCGTCAGATCCTGGGCCGTGCTGTTGGTTTTCATTGTGGTGTTTTTTTTTTTTCCCAAAACTCCATGTAATATACGCAAGTGGTAACAGTCTGGAAGTCAGAACAGGAACTGCCACAGTGCTTATCTTGATCGTTCAGCTCATTAGGCAAGGTGCAGACCCTCAGAGTCAGACACTTCATCGCACTGCCCCTGAAATACAGTGGGAAAACAAGTTTAGTCACTTACCGTGCATAAGAAATTATCAGCACTCAAGTCATTTCCTAATTTCCAAGAAAATCCAGACCAGTGCTTAGTGGGCTGAAACCCTGACAAAAGCCTGAGGAAAAGGCTACTCGGGAACAGATACCAGTGACTGCTTGAGGCTATTAAAATTGTGAAACCGAGCTGAAAGGGGTCTGGCAAAGCTCTGTCCAGCCTGTTCTAAACCTCTGCTGGAGGGCCCGGCAGCCTGGTGGCACCTCAGGTAGGGATCAGCAAGAGCGCCTGGCATCAAGGCGACTGCTGTTTTATCTACAGGCAAGCATTACACCCGCCAGCGTATTCCTTGGGGAAGCTCCCTCGGGAGGATGACTGAAACTTGTGACAAGTTAGGACTAGGATCATTTCACCCTACGCTGCTTAGAATGTCCTATTCCCATGAGTCAGAAAACTGCTGTACCTTCGCTCACAAGCCTGCGCTGTACTCGGGACAGGGCTTGCTGTGTCGATATTGCATGATGTACACTGTGGATTGATGCCACCAGTACAGCATCACCACTGCAAGGATGTGCCATACTTGGTGGCTGGAGCCGAGGTAGTTCAGCTGTCCTGTGGGGAGGGAAAAGGGCAAGGGGTTAAGCTCTTGAATTCAGCGATCATTCACGCAATGCAATTAGCAATCTGTCTCCTCCAAAGCTCAACCATACACTCCGCTTGCTGGGAGGCAGTGAAAGTTCTTTAATGAACGCAATCACAAGTTGTCTGCTGCCTTTATATGCACATACGCACAACATTTTACGTTGTATGAGAACAGTTCATGTAGAACCTGGTTGACCCGTTCTCTCACAGGGATTTGAGGCCTCACAGAAAGGACTGTGACGCTGCAGGAAGCCTCACTGCAGAAAAAACACCCGGAAGATAATCTCCTACCTGGGAAGTATCTTTCTGGAACTTTGGAAATGTAGAAGAGAAAAGCTACAGCAGCGATGAAGTACATGACAACTACACGTGGAGCAAACTCCTGCAAAAGAAAAGGAAGCTCTCCTACTCTGTTCGAAGGGAAAGACACACAAACAAACAAACAAACAGGCCCTACAGATGAAAAAAGAAAAAGGCGTGACAGAACCGACCCCTACTTCACTGCCTATTGTCATCTACGGACACAACCCAACAGGGAAGCAAATGCCAAAGTTTGGGAAAATCTGTACAGGAAGAAACTTGTTTTATCATGACCTCTCCACTTCGATACAGAAGCTACTTACTTAGTGCTTCTGGGCAGCCTGCAGCAGACACGGAATTTGTCAGTAAAAGGGCTGATTTGTCTTCCAACACAGTAATCTTAGGCAGAACGGCCGGGATAAGCCAAGAGGATGACTTCAGTGCAAGATCCCATTTACTGATCGGGATTGCACTCGCTAGAACCCAAGGCCGCAGGATTACCGCATACTGGATGGGAAATAATCAAGCAACCCACTCACGAGCTGCTTTTTGTTTTCCTTAAGAGAAAGCTTTCTAACTGGAAGTGGGGCATTTTTCTGCAGTGTGGAAGCAAAACGCGGCCCGTACCTACCATTCTGCTACACCAGGAGAACTGAAACGGGGAAGACGTGGGGGGACAACTACTGTTCATCTGATTTTTAGAAGGCCCGCGTTAAGTGCCCCGCCTAAAGTCTGGACCGGGCTAAACCGTCGCCCCAGGTGACAGGCCTCCCGCAGGGCCTGTCTAAGAAGGTGCCCAGTTAGGGCTGACTGCGAGAAGGAAATGTTTTCTTCAGCACAGTCAGGTCCCTGGGTAACTGCAGCGATCTTCATACGGGGACATACTTTCCTGTCCTTAGCTGTACCACGCTGCTTGTTTTTCAGAGCATAATTCTAAGCGGTAAAACAAGAACAGGAAAATAGTTCGGCAACATCACAGTGATGTTAAATGAGGATTGCGTAAGAGACAGAGGGCTGAGTAGGCAAATACTGATTTTTGTGGCCAACCCAGGGAGCAGAAGAGGAAGTCAGTAACCGCCCCATCAGTGTCTTCTGGTTCCCTGCTCTGCTCTCGAGCCGTGGAGGCGGACGGCCCAGAGCACTCGTGCAGCCTGACCGACTGCTTCCCACGCAGCAGCCGATCCGGCTCCGGTCCCTCGGCCAGGGCGCGGCCCTCCTACACGGCTGCTCTGTCCCTCAGGCAGATGCCTCAGTCACTTTTACAGCCAGCTTTCCTTCTCGTGGTGCAGTTTTAAACCAGGAAAGCAGATTTGATCTGCACAACCTATCTGCTGCTTCTCAATGCGTTTCTAAGCGTTTGCGTTTGAATCGTATCGTCCGAAAAAATTCTATGCTTCGAGAAATTTTCATTAGTGCTACTTCCCCCTCATTTCCCGAAGTGTAAGAGGGGTGAAGGAAGACGGCAAGTGAAAAGCAAAAGACAGTCTTGTTTCCTCCTTTTCTTTTACCTGTACAATAGATGCACCAATGCCGCCGTTGAGCCAAACCCAGTGGATGGTGGGAATAATTCCATATCCAGACACCGAGCAAAAGATGATGGAGCGCAGTCTGTGCCACTGTTGTGTGAGGTAACTGGGATGAATCTGAGCAAAAAATACTGCCAAGATCATTGCCAGCACAGTGATTAAATATACCTGACGCCAGTACTGAGGAAAAAAAAAAAAAAAAAAAAGAGACAAAAGCAAGTTTGCGGGTGTTCTCGTCATGTGTAAAAGTCAACTCCGTGAAGAAAGTTAACACTGCTCCATGCAATGGTGCATCAATTCCCCCGCCACCGCTGCCAGCACAGATGATGGGGTTTGCATGCATGGATTTGTAGTCATGAACTGACGGCGAGGGGAAGGGACACTGTTGCTTGGGTACACCTGGAAAAACCTCTTTTTTTTCCAAGCAGTGCCGTCGCCTGAGCGTTTTCAACGTACCTCTGCCTGAGCAGACTTGCTCACCTACCCGCTCGCCGCATCCGTGACAGACATGGCTGCAATCTGGGCCTGCCAAGGGAACTAACTGTGCTTGTCCTCTATCAGACAAAGAGAAAATAAGCTTGTTTCTGCCTCATGTAAGCTACCTCGAGGGAAACGATGTTTGAGTTACTTGTGATGGGGACGCAGCCCACAACCAGCCTCACGCATTTGACAAAGGTAGGACCAGTAAAGTCTACCCTGCCTGCATAGATAGAAATTTACATATTTTCTTGAGGCTCGTGCGACCGGCAGCTTGCAAGGGAGCCCTCAGTTTGCCTGTCGCTCAGCAAGCACAGTTCTGCTCGTGTCAGAATGAACTTGTTTCGGTTTCCATCTGTCCCCGCGCTAGTACTCTATTTGGACACCCTGCACCGAACCCCCTTCCTACGGCGTGGGAGCTGCAACCGTGAGACCGCAGGAACTAAACGTTACGGGAAGAAGAGCTTCAAACTTACATTGTTACAATAAAATGCATAGAACACGCCTGACACATAGCAGCCCAGGATGCCAATGGAAATTCCCGCGTAATCTAATGCCATCCATCGTCGGCTGGTCTTCTCTGAGCGGTGGCAACAGAACAGATGATATCCTACCGAGCAAAGCATGCAGACCTGCACGAACGGTCAAACAAGGATGCATTAATCTCTTAAAAAAGAACAGGGAATAGAGCAAGCTTAAACTCTGAAGCTTAGAGCGTGCGATTGACCTGTTACACGTTTCGCACTGCAACTTGGCGTAGGCAGTTAAGATTCCTGCCAGTGATCAACAGAAACTGATGTAAGCTGCTCTGGCAGACTGAAGAAAAAACAAAAGACTTGGCAAGACTTGATAACGCCAAGGTGCACAGCTAAGAAAACGGGGCTATCGAGGCCTGGACCATGAGGCCAAGCGACAAGCCGGTTCGCAAGGGAGCAGGGCCACGTCTGCACACGAACAATTCTGCTTGGCCCAGCTACCGCAAGCAGGAACCAAAGCCCAACTCCGCCCTGACTGCCTGGCATCCAAGTTACTTTAGTGAGGGAACACACCAGAAATTAAACCCCTACGCACAGGCTGCTGATCTGCTTCTAGGCTGGCATCACATTTTTTCCCTGATAAATGTTTTTTGTGTTTCGCTGCAACCCTGAACAGGAGTAGGGAAGAGCACGACTGCAGCGCGTTCCAAGGCAGCAAGGGAGCTTCCCCCGCTTCTAGCTATGCAAGGGCACCCTGTACTTTTCAGGGAACGTGTACAGCGCTCCTTGGCTCTTCACACTTTTTTGGGGGCAGCATACTTGACAGGCGCTTCAGCGCTCAAATGATGACACACTTGGGGTCTGCTGTTGGGAACAGGTTTCATAACAGGAGCCCCGCTGCCATTCCAGACCAGCATCAGGCCGTGGCCTGTTCCCACGTCCTGGTGGGTGACCCCTGCCAGCGGAGCTGCATCGGGCACGACTGCACCCCAACGCCCAGCTGAAGCTGTGAAATAGGGCCCTGGGGAGCTTCGCTGGTTTTCACAGACTCTCTCCTACGCCAGCCATGCTCAATCCTCCCTGGCCTACTCCCTACATTAAAGAACTCAAGATCAACTCAGGCACCGGGCTTGTCCGTTACCTTTAAAAGCACAGCGATTTCCCAGGTCTG